TGGGGTTTGTGGAAGGGCGGGGGAGATAGTACCTAACCAATTTATAGGTTGGGGGTGGTTAAGGAACCCTGGCTTAGAACATATCTTTCTTTAATCCCCCCAAAGAGGTTTAGCAGAGTCACTTTTTTGTGAGATGGGCAGTATCTAAATTTGAAATATAAATAAATAAATAATTAATTAAATGAATAAATAAATAAATTTTGTTTGTGAGGTTTCCAATGTTCTTCAGAACCTCTCTTCCTTCACTCCCCATCCACCATTCAATGGTGTAGTAACTTTCTCCAAGGTCACATCTGGAAAGGCATCTGAAACAGAAATGCTGGCCTGCCACCACCATATCTCTGCCACCCTACTGTTCAATTTGGAATGCAATGTAGACATGGCACCATACTCACTAAAAGCTTGTGAGAAGCTTTTCAGTGCATTGATTTACATATTCATATTTCTTCATTGCTCTGCTCAGATATGGTTCGATGAAATGTTAGGAATGTTTTTGGAAATCACCAGACAAATGTACTAAACTGGAGGGAGGGGGAAGGGAAATGTAAGCAATTTATTTCATTTAAGTAGAGAGAGGAGAAGGGATCTTTGCTAAATCATGATGGACAGAAGCTCTGAAGGGGAGACAGTCAGCTATTGCTCTATATTTAGGAAGCACAGGATAAAGGGAGATCAATAACTGACTCATTGACTAGCATTTTTTGCTAGACGCTCTAGACTCGCAGAAGTCTATATCAATCTGCTTGCAAATTAAAAATATCTTTTAAAAAACAAAGACAATGTAGAAGAAAACTAACTTCCATTTTAACTGGGTTGTAAAAGCTTGGAAAATGAAAGGTTGATGCTCTGAAAGGGCCCAGAAAACACCTTGGAAAACTAGGAAATTATGAAGAAAACTTACATAATTCAAAGGCCAGAAATGCCTTTGATAATGACATATCCCAGAAAAATATAACAGTGCATGAAAAATGGAGTGGGTGAGTTGAAGAAGTCTGTTGGATTGTGTAGCTCCTCCCAGGCACAAGAGCCGGCTGTGTGAATCACAGGGGCACTGGAGGGAGGGAACTGTATGACTGTATGACTTGTCATTAGTGACGTCATGCATTTCATATCTAGATCACTTTCACAATCACACAATCACAAGCATTCAAAATACCAGTGCATAAACCTCAGGAAGCACTGCATTTTCCTCATGGAAAAATACTGAAACAATTAAATGAAACAATGCAACATTCCTGCTGCAACAAGGAAGTGATCTATCTCCCAAGCAATTAATGAACTAAAATTATACATTTGTTGCAAGAATAAATTATATTATATAATTTATAAGTAGATAAGGCCTTAAGCATACAATTTTACACTCAACAATGCAGTGTATGTCCCAATCAATATGTCTTTTATATTCTTAACTGTATATTGGGATGCAAAGATCCTTGGAAATTGATATTTGCACAAGATACTAATAGAGATCTTCTTTATAAAAGTGCAAGATTATTTTTACTTTAAAAGTATTTTTCTGTAACATTTAAAAAATACTTACTTTGTGAATATTCTTCCCCCATTGGGGGTGGATAGTCTTCATCCCAGTCCACTATGTCTTCATCTGTTAATACGACAATATGACATTCACGCTCTCCTTTCTTAGCACTCCCAACCATTATTGGCAGGATTAGCTCTTCCAGATAGCTATCAAACTGCCTGTGAGCCCCATCATTGGACAGTTCATGCAATAATGCACCTAAGGAAATAAACAATATATGGCTCTCCTAAATATGGTTGGATGCTACAGATCTAACTCTATCAGTCTCATATCATCTCAACAGCAGGATCTGGCACAAAATATAAAGGCATGTAAACATATAGAGAATTGACACATTTCTCCTTTAAGTGAGTGTTCCTTAGTCTAAATCTCTCCAAAAGGTGCTGGGCTTCAACTCTCAAAATACTAGGCAGCCCCATGATGGCTGTAAGATTCTAGAACTGAAGAACAGCACATCTGGAGGGCACCTGTTTCGGGAAGGCTGCTATAAGTACTGTTCTACTCACTTAAATCCTGACACCTGATTGTGTTGAAATCAAAATTGATGCAAAGATAGTCACAAGTGTCTCTGAGATCAGGAATAGAAATTCCATCAGGACAATGAATGATTCCAGTTTTGTAATAATCCTGAAAAGTCAAGTGATAAAATATTAGTAGTAGTAGTAAGCTTCTCCATCAAAAACATTCAAAATAGCATGCATAGGAAATCTATCATCTAGTAATGTTGTTACTAAATGTTTAGGCATACTGTTATACTGTACTAATAGTTTGCACACTGTTATACTGTACTAATAGTTTGCACATAATTACAAATTGTTCTATATTATTTTTAAAAGCTGACCATTAATAGAGTAATATTCTTCCTTCCTACATGAATAAGGAACAGAGAATAAATCATATGATAAAAGCGTGATATAAATCAACCATCTCATCTTGGTGTCTGCTAGATGAGTTGAATTCAACTTCCAGAATTCCAAGTCTTTTCCCATGTAGATTTGGGATTCAAAGCCCAACCTATCTTAGAGAGCAATTCATTTAAACTGGTGTAGGGGCTAAAGTGCTGGACTAGCAGCAGGGAGATCCAGGTTCAGGTGGGTGACTTTGGACCAGTCACTCTCTCTCAGCCTAACCTACCTCACAGGGTTGCTGTTGTGGGGATAAAAATGAACCAAGATCCCCATGTAAGCCATCTGAGCAATTGGAAGGAAGATGGGATATACATTTAACAAATAAATAGTGTGACTACCTTAAAAGAACAAAATGGGGAAAAACAAGAAAAATCTGAAGTCTACAAACAGAATAGAAAAAACTTATCAAGAAATTCAGAATTCCCTTGAAGTTGAAGGCAAGAATAGGAACGTTACGAACAGGAAGAACAGCCCTGCTTCTAAAACATCATGGAATTCCTCACCAGCACAATCCGGAAAACAGCAGAACTGATGCCTTCTGCAATTTCATATTCACCCTTCTCATTTGGACGAGTAAAGTTATATTCTCGTCCTGGTCCAAACATTCTGAAAAGCAGAAAGAAATCAAGGTAGGTAGATCAGATTAAGACCATTTAAGCAAAGAATAATTTCTATAACAGCAAATTGTTATTTGGGACTATCATGAGAACCATTCAGGTTTTAAAAAGTTTTCACTTTTTGAAGCCTAGAAAGTTGGTTGAATTGCTAATGTGGAATAGAAACCTCGATCTAATCACTAGATATAACTTTACACATACAATTCAGACGCATGCTTAGCCTGGCCAATCTCTGAGACAGCTTCTGGAATTCTTTCCAACTTGGAGTCACTTACCTTCCCAGCATTGTATCAGGATGGGCTGTGAAAATTTGTGGATTTACAATGAATCTTGTTCCATCTACCACAAGAGTCACTTTCTCTGGTGCTTGGACTTGTGGACTGTTGCTCAAGTTGTTAGTACTGTTTCCAAACTGTTCTTGTGTAGTGTAGTAGCCTTGACTTCGTTTACCCCCTGCTGGGAAGAAAATAATACTGGCATCTTCAGACATTAGAACACAGAGAACTTGCTGGATGAAAAGCAGATCTGAGCAGCATCTGAGTAACTGGCATCAATCATTAGATTTAAAAACTTCACTTGTAACTCAAAATGAATTTAGTTTCAAATACACAAATGCTCCAATGTCAAAAGAAAAGGCATAACGGGTTTAGAATATATATAGACAGACTCATCTAGCTGAATCCATAAAAAAAATGCACAATTATTCCATCCTTCCTTCTTGTAGCAGGAAGAAGTGGTAAGAAAATACAGGAAGGGTCCAGATGGAAATTGTCATTGGCTTGATCCCTAGTAAAGGTCCATGTCTGAGGCAGGGTGACTACATAATAAAAATACTGTATGGAAGGATCCTTAGCAGTTTGATCACATAGAGGACTGATCCAAACTCTGTATGCAATTGTTGATAATGCATTCATGTGTCTATGTGTGTGAGTTTTCACACAGCTGGTATGAATTTATCTAGGGATAGAATTGCGGTGCCTTTGTTTTGATACTTGGTTCATTCCACTTGATTATAATTGATTTATTTAGGTTTTTATGCTATCAACAAGAGACAAATATAACCTAATGGGCTACGCACACCACAGTGCATCTTATTCACAGTATGGTAGCAATTGCCTTAACGCGTTCCATGGAAATGCAGCTATTAAGTAGCTTGATCCCAAAGAGATACACAAGACCATGTTTGGTGGTACATTTTAAAATAAAGAAACTGTTTTTGTCCTTACCATGATTTCTGCACAAAGGAAACATGTTAATGCTGTGACTGCCCTGTTTCACACTGCCTTTGTCCTGATCATGGGTTGAAGAAGCTAAGTTCTCAAGCTCTTGATTGCTCAATCTCTCCATTCCAGTGGCATGATTAATATTCGTCTAGAGACATCCGTATTGCAAACTGACTGCTTAACTGGAAAAGTAGTCCAACAAAAAAGAGAAAAGGGATTTACATCGAGATAAAACCTCTCAGTCTATTCTTTCCCCAAATCAAGAGTAAGGAACATGCAGATGCCAGGGCCACAGGCAGCCCTTGAAGGCCCCTCTGCCTGCTTTCCCACTACTTCAGAGGTGGAAAATACAGGAAAACTGTAGTATAAGCCCGAGAATAGCCATATCACCCTTAAAAACAAAGACAAAGCCCAAAACTCTCTAACCATATGTGTGATATATTCCTACTCACATCAAAGCCATATGATAGGGATGGGAAATAGCTCAGTTGCTGAAATTCTTGTACCCCATCCCTTTCTTCTCAAGAAACCTCACTAAAAATACTCTGCAAATTGCGCTTGGAAAAGAACTTGTGGTTTAGGCAAAGGCCAAGAACCTGACAGGTTCCATAAACAGATGTTTGCAGAGCCGGACTTCCTTCATGTTCCCTCAAGGTCAAGCTAACTCCACCCCAATTTCCTCATGGTCTGTCCTCTGCAATTTCATCATCCTGGGAGTATTTTAGGGCATTCGTCAGCTGTAAAGGGAACTTTGAGACAGCATTATCAATAAAAGACACTGTGCAATGATTCTGTCTTTTCCTCTTACTGGATCTTCTCCCAAACAAGCCAGGCCAGAGCAAAAGGGTGGGAAACCAATTCCATTTTTATGCTATCCAAGGCAGTTATTATGCTTACATAAAGGCTGACATTGTTTTTGCTTCTCTTATAGGGGCCCATTAGGAAAAATGAAGAGGAGGGGTGACGGTATTGCATATATCCCTACAGTTGGGACCTATCTCTGGTAAAGACAGCTGGCAGAGGGGCACAGTACCAAGCCCCACCACTTTCCAAGGAGGACCTCCATATCTTACCAGAAAGGCTTGAAGGATGGTGGGGGTCCTCTGGTAATTGGCTTTTTAAAATGTTTTCTACCTATCTGCAGAAAAAAAGAAAAGATGAAATGGAGAAGGAAAAAAAAAAAAAGGAAAGCCCACCAAAGGATACATCTCTTATGTACGAAAAAAACGGTCCTAGATATATACAGATGTCAAATTATACAATTAAATTATTAACATTTAAGGACAATAAGGACAAAAATAAAGCATTAATTTCTCACTCTGAAAGAGTGTTAGCGCTACAGGCTCTTTGGAAGTGGGCCTTCTTTGTGCTGCCCTATGAAACAGCATCCGCCACCCACAGCGTGACTAGCCAGGCTTCAATCTTTTGCAATTCAAGAAAGCCATCTAGAGCTGGTCCTTCCAAGAAGACCCCTCTGCAGATTGGGACTGCTTATATTGGAAAAACGTTTTCTTGGTACATTAAGATTTTTTTATTATGCATAACAGTGGCTTGTGTGTATTGTTTTAACCCTGGTTATGGAGATGGAGTGTATGTTGCTTAGAGTTAGATGTGATTGAAGCAATGAGCCTGAGTAATAAACACAGTAGATAAAACTTGTATATGGAGTCCTTCCAGTGATATAAAGCTCATCTAAATATAGAAAGAGAGGTAAGCAACTCAGACCAATGTATAATTGATGGATAATGCCTGCTCTTCTAGCCTTCTAGCATTACTCACTCTGCAACCCCAGAAGATTATTTTCTTTGTTCTCCTGTTGTTTTCCATACTGTTGATATATAATTAAAAGAATGAGACCTACAAAACCAGCAACTCTTCCAGAACAACATTAATATTTAAATGTTGTGTTATTAGAAACAGCAACAGAGTTGGATAGGTGAGTCTCCCTTAAAAAACTTCTGAAGAAAAATTACTTTGCTTCAAATAACTTGTACTATACACAACAAACATATTTCCAGACATTTAATGCTTTTTTTATATTTATTTGGAAACAAGAAGATTTGAGGAAAACTCATTTTTACCTAGGAAGTTTTAACAGTCAGAGTGGGAAATATTTAACTTCCTCTGTTTCAGATTAATGAATGAATGGCAAGTTTCGACTATTGGTAATCCTTATAACTTGGAAAATGTGATGTTTCCCCTTCTGCTACATTCATTTATTAGGGAGGTGTGGCATGCAGCTGCTATCTGATCATTAAAGTCACACTAGATTAACGTACAGGGAGTCCAAATTCCAAAATAGCAAGACAATGCTTTTATTTGAGAACTTAGGTGGGCTATGAAGTGTGCATCGTAGGTCTATTAAACAGAACAGGTGATAAATTGTTGTCATTTGTAATGTAAATATCACTGCAGAGTGGCAATATTCTCAGTCAAATTAACATGTGATATTTAAGCGTGAGTTGGCAGCTCTAAGCATGAGTTGGCAGCTCTAAGCACTTCAGAATCCTCTCTAGTGCTAGAAGGTCTTTTACAAATGTTCTTTACAAATGTATATAACAGCAATTTATAAACCCTCTTTGGAATATGCAAAATCAGATGCTCAATAATTTAAGGAGTCATGGAAAAAGAAATAGGAATGTCCAGTACATGAACATCAATAGAAGAATATCTTGGCACTTATTTATCATTCATTGGGTCAGCCAGTTTGGTCTAGTGGTGAAGGCGCCAGGCTAGAAACCAGGAGACTGTAACTTCTAGTCCCGCCTTAGGCATGAAAGCCGGTTGGGCGACTTTGGGCCAGTCTCTCTCTCTCAGCCCAACTCACCTCACAGGGTTGTTGTTGTGGGGAAAATAGGAGGAGGAAGGACTATTAGGTATGTTCGCCACCTTGAGTTATTTACATAAATAATTATGTATTTATGTACATACTAAAAAAAAATCTAAAAAAATCTAAATTATACACACTACAACTACTTCACTAGCACTGATTCATGTGTTGTGGTGATGTGCGATGCTGCATTCCCTTTTGGACAGAACATATTTTCTTATGTCCTTAGTAGGACAAGATCAGCTCAAACCATTTAATTCTATGATTTTATGAGAACAGCCACAACAGATGGCTCTCTGGCCTCTGCTTGAGCACATAAAGGGAACCCCATCTTTGTATTTTAACCACACAAAACCCCAAAAAACCAAACATTTATTTCCCACTCCAGTTCTATTAAAACGTCATATGGCAGTGTTCTGTCATTTTGTGGGGTAATAAGTAGGTGTCACAAAGTGTAATACTAGGCTTGTACTCTTCAAATTTTTAATTACTGACTTGGATAAAAAAAAAGGATGGAAGATTGTTTTAGGAAAAAATGCAACATTCTTGTCCTCATCAATACAGAAGACATTAAGGATTGAATCCTTCAATCTATCTATTAATTCAGCACTTCAGGCACAGCCCTTTCTGGTGACAGAAAGCAGATAAATGTACATCATCTTTTTAGTGTTTGTTGCCTCCAAATGTCCTGAATTTTCTCTCTGAAATCTGATTTATCTGCATTACTTCTCAGATTTCACTGCACCAAAATATTTGGGCATATGGCATACTCAGTATATCACAACACAGCAGATTTTGCTACTATTCCTTGTTCTGCATTGTCGATTTTTTTTAAAAAACAGGCTACTCCAGCTTTTTAAAATGTTTTTATCTTTCGTCAGGCCCTCCATCAGCTAACGTATGTTCACATAACATAAGACACATATTTTAAAATATTCCCGCGATTATGTCCTTAATGCAAATTAATGATTAAAAATGTGTTGAGAAGCCTCAGCCTCAACTACAATTATATTTGTTCACTACTTAAAAAAAAACAACCCAATATTCAAAGCAGCTTTCCTGAGTGTTGAGTGACAGGCCAAGCTGACAGATAAATTGCCCTAAAAAAACGAATCGATCGCACAGCCCGAACATGGTATTTTTTACTGCATCTCGGGATTAGGTGAGAGTAAACCTCTGTACTTATGTAGACAAAAATTAAAAGAAAAACAGCGGCACCAATAAAGCTACAATCTGCAATACCATTAACCTGGGGACCGGCTTTCTTTCTTCATGGAGGAGCATCGCCCTGGAAGAAGGGATGCTATTGCTGAGCCCCACATCTCCCCGACCCCGGGATCTTTCCAGGAAGGATCACAAGGAAACGTCCTCAAGCCCCCTGCTCCTCCTGAAGGCCCGCTGCGCGAAACCTGCAAGGGAACCCTTCCAACGCAAAACCATGAGTTTTTTTCCCTCATAAAGATGTTTTCCCCCCTCATGGCCGGTTTTAACCGTACTGGGAAGATTTCTAAATACGGGTGTTTAGCCTTTCCGCTGATACTTTTTCCATGTCTCCATGACGTAACGTAATCGACTTACTGTTTCCTTCAGGCCGTCATCCGATACATGCGTGGGAAACTTTGGTCTGATCAACGTTACATTCTACTCTGGACTCAGGTTCATACAGGAAAATGTAGAGGGCAAATTAATCTCATCTACTTACCTGCATTCCTTTAAGGATCCCAGCTAATGAATCAGCGCTGCAGCCTTAAAATCTACTTTTAAGGACGACGATGTGGATAAATCCAAGCGGCAGAAGAGCTGGAATTTAAAGCGTTTGTGCTGTAGTAGCAATCCCCACCCCTTCTAAACCCAAAGGATTATTCATGAGCATTATTTCAAATTAAGAGTCCCTGCCCAGCGTATATGAAAACAAGAGGGAACACGCTTATACTGTACAGCAGGATTCCTCAACCTTGGCAACTTTAAGACGGGTGGACTTCAACTCCCAGAATTCCCCCAGCCAGCAAGGTGGGAGTTGAAGTCCACCCGTCTTAAAGTTGCCAAGGTTGAGGAACTCTGCTGTACAATACTCAGCACCTTTGATCTTCTGGGAATACTGCCGTAGGAAGACTATGAGTTCAAACTGCATGCCTTAAAAAATGGCTACAACCACACTTTTATTCCCCATCTTATATTGCTCTATTAACCCTTTACTGCCAGTGTACTTAAATTCCAAATCCCTAATTGAGGAGTTCCTAAACCTTTTGCCATCACACCTCCCTTTAGTATAATCTTAATGTATACAGCTTCCCTAAAACATCCAAACACCAACATGAACACAAACGAACAATGAAAACCATACAATGAAAGTTTGGGAAAGGTGGTTTTATTATAACAATATACAACTAAAAGGTTCTTCACATTTTCCCTAGACTCTGTCTGCACCTCCCCAAGGGAGGAACACCTCACCGCTTGGCAACCCTGCCCTAATGGAACCACATTGTCTCTTAAACAGACACATAGTCAATATAATAAAAAGGAGTTTCAGAAAGGAAAAGAAAATCAAACATTCAAATAAAGAAGGTATATTCAGGTGAAGAATGCTTGCTAATGTGATGACACCACAGAAGTTCTGTCCTCGTGTTGCTTTTTGGAATTACAGTAATCCCCTTGACGATGCCCACAGAACATACTTATATAATAAATACCACATGCAGCCTTTTAATTCAAGATCAACTAACTAGGAATAACTGCTACCACCTTCCCAAGCTCTGTAGCCACAATTGCGAATACAGATGGGAATGATGTGATGAGAATATATATTGAAGCATCCAGCAGCAACAAACTCATTCTTAACTTCCCTGCAGATGTTTCTTGCAATAGAAATAGTTCCATTATGGAAATTATGTATAAGATAGACCTCCAGTACCTCTCTCACTCTGCATATGAGCTGCAGGTGTCTGCCACAGAATCAGAATTAGAAGTGGCTGCTTGGGTTATGGAATCCACCTCCTGCAATAAAAATTAAAGCAGTGACATATCCAGGGAAAGGAAACCTGCCACAGCTTGATCATTTCATGATCTGCTTTAGACCAGTCTTTTTCAACCTTGGCGACTTTTCAGATGTGTGGACTTCAACTCCCAGAATTCCTCAGCCAGCATGACACTTGCAGGAGGTGGTTGACACATGCTGGCTGGGGGATTCTGGGAGTTGGAGTCCACACATCTGAAAAGTCGCCAAGGTTGAGAAACACTGGTCTAAGAGCTTAAAGGATGGTAGACTGTGTATGTCATTCGGAGGGAACACAAAGATATTTAGTGCTTCTGTGAAATAATGAAAGTAAGAGCTGGATAAACCTCCATAGGAAGAAAATTGACCTTTCAAGTGTGCAGAGATCTCAAGCTTTAAACGTGAACAGCATTCATTTGAAGGATAATAAGAAAGAGACCGGAAAGTCTCTGAAACTGCAGAAGCACATACAAAAGGTCATGATAACATGCCTGCCATCTTGCAAATGTTGACATATCCCCATGAACACCACTGAACATAGATTTTTCTCCCTTGATAATTTTGGGGTTAATGGGCACATTTGAAATGTTAAGAAAATGTCTTAAGTGTTGGATACATCATCCCCATTCACCAGATTGTTTCTTTCATGGCTCAGAATTGAGAGATCATCTGGTTTCCTATTTCCCATCTTTATTCTGCTACTGTTAGGTACAGAAAAATATAAAAAGCCGGAATAAGTAAAAGCTGTTCCCTTTGGGATTCTTCATGCTAATCTCCACAGTATTATTTTCAGTGTTCTGGAAAGTTCTGTGCCTTTTGATATAGATACTGTACATAGATAATGTAAATTGTTGCCTGTTGTTCAAATCTTGCCGTCTGTTTTTTTCCTGCCTTTGTTCCTGGTTTTTCCAGTTAACTCTTTTTGATATGTGCTGATGTTTAATAAATAAATATCGAGCTAGATTTTTTGCTAGCCAAACTGAGTGGCTTGTGTGCTCACTCTCATTTGGATAGAGGGAATGACCGGGAATGTGCTGGATACAAACTAAACAGGAAATTCCCCACAGTAATTTCCAACAATAAGCATGCGCGCCAATGGCTGGTCACAAACTGGTGAGATTACAAACAAACAAACTGGTGAGATTACTTCCTGCTACCCATTTTGGCTCCCAAGATGCTGTCTACTAGCTCAATCTATTTTTATTTTCCAAAGCGGTAGTCACCCATAGTGTTTATATTCTCAGAATGTCTCTGGGAACTGGGGTGTATGCAGAACCCATTGGCCTTGGGGAAATAAAAATGGTGGTTGGGGCTGGTGTTCTGCTTTGCTACAAGCCGGCTTCCCATTTATTTATTTAATTAAAATGCTCTAATAATTATGGCCACACATGAAATGGGAGATGCTTAGTTTTGAGCTTGAAACAAAACATCTCACCTGAGGTATTTCATCAAAGAAAGTCTGAGTTGGTACTTGCTGACAGAACAAACTCAGACCAGTTCTGTGTTCCACTGAAACTAAACCAAAAACATTTTGGCCATAGGAAACAATGGAAACACACCCACACACGCAAAAGGCTTTGTGCTCCCCTCTTTTCCTTCCTTTTCACCTCAGAATCACAAGAATAGATAAGAGAGCAGTTTATGTCAAGTGCTACCAGTGAGACAGCTTGCAGAAAAATTGGCTGAGAATTTTCCTTCTTTAATATAATACTGTATTCATCTTTTAATATTATTGAAAACTGCTATTATAGAAGCATTTGTTTCATCCTCCTTGAATTCACATAGAAGTGCACCCCTCTTCTTTTGCCTGGGAAAATGCTAATTGATGGGATATGAAGAGAGATAATAGTTTTTTGAAAAAGAATAAACAACATTAACACAATAATAGCAGAAATAAAATTACTTTGCCTTCCCTTCCTTCTTCTTATTAGCCTGCCTACCCTCAACAAGAGAGCCAGTTTGGGGTAGTGATCAAGGCACCAGGCTAGAAACTGGGAGATGGTGAGTTCTAGTCCCACTTTAGGCATAAAGCCAGCTGAGTGACCTTGCGCCAGTCACTCTCCCTCAGCCCTATGAAGCAGGCAATGGCAAGCAAGTTCTGAAATCTTGCCAAGAAAACTGCAGGCAAGTTGTTCAGGCAGTCGCCAGGAGTCAAAGGCTGACTTGAAGGCACCAACCCCCACCCCACCCCTCAACAAACTTTCCAGTCTCATAGAGTCTTCATTTGAAAAATACTTTTTCCTTTGCATTGAAATTTTTTCTTTAAAAAATCATGTCTTCATGTCTCCAGTTTAGGAACCACTGTTCTAGGCAGTCAGGCAGTGGCACAAAGAGCAGGACGATAACCAGATCCAGAATGGATGCCACAATGGGAAAAGGGAACAAGAGACATATAACAGTTGAAAACTGTTCGGTACCCCTGAAGCCACATCCTGTGGCTTTAGGAGGAATGCAACCCATCTTGATGTCATCTTCAAAGATTATTCTCCATTGAAGGAAGGACAGATAGAAGGACAATCCCATTACACAGCCTACAATTACCTTTCTTTAAAGAATAGTGCATTATTAACATATCACTATCAGCAGTGAAACCTCTTCTTGTGATTAATTTTGTACAACACCAAATGTAAGCTTGTGGGCAGAAGCTGTGTCAGCTCACGGAATAAGCAATGGCATTCCTCTTCCCTCTCCAGTCTGCCTACCACCAGTGCTCATAAGCTGCTCCTGAGAATCCCTTTTATTAGTGAGAAATTTGGAGTCTTAAATCTCTCTATAGGTGAGGTGAATGTAAGGTAAATACATAGCATTGCTTCCTCAATTTTTCCTTACAATCCTATGAAGTAGCCTGGTTTGAGAGAGCGTCTGATCCAAAATCCCCAAGAAACTTAACTTCCATGGGTGAACTTGAACTTGAACCTAGGTCTTCTCAGTCTCTGGACACTTTCTTGCTAGTAAGTTGTAGTATCGCTCAAGCACTCCTGTGTCTATGTAACAAGAATAGAGACAGGTTTGTATGGCCACAGTGGCTGGCTAATGCTATAATGGTGCTACAGCTCTCTTGTGAGAGAATGGTCTGAATTCTACCTGGCTGTATTTGTACCGCACTGAATCACACACCTAAGTAAGCACATTTCAAACTATACAAGCATTTTTAACTATGGGTACATCTGCTTTACAAACATACATTTCAAATCATTAATGTTCATGGCTTCAAATAAGGGATTTTTAGAAATGGCTCACTATTCATTTATTCATTTATTTATTTATATGCATAGATTGTAAACATGCCTGACTCCAAATGATTCAAGGTGCTTAACATAATTTAAAAAACTGGAACAATAAAAAGAAACAAATGATATGCATCCAGAAAGACCATATACAATACAGGTAGTCCTTGGGTTACAACCATTCGTTCAGTGACCATTCAAAGTTTTAATGGTGCTGAACAAATGGTAGTTATGACGATTCCTTGTAGTTCCAGCAGTCACAGCATTCCTGCAGTCACGTGATTGTGATCCAGGCACTTGGCATTCGGCTCATGATTACAGCATTGCATCGCAGCAAGCTCTGGTCACCTGATTGCGATTTCCGACGTTACCTGCCAGCTTCCCACAAAGTCAATGGGGAAGTTAGCAGGAAGCCAGAAGTCATGGTCACATGAGGTCCTCGCTTAATGACAGCAACCGGGATTGCTGGAACTGGTGTCACTAAACGACAGTCACATGTCTCACTTTACAACTGCATCACTTAGTGACAGCAATTCCAGTCCCAATTGCCATCATAAGTCAAGGACTACCTGTAGAGCCAAATGATACTAAACAAAATCTTACAGGGCTCACCTACCATCCTGTCCCAAGGCTCAGAAAAATAGCCAGGTTTTCAGTGCCTTACAGAACATCAGGGTGGGAGCCACATGGATCTCTGGGGGAATACTGCAAGTATCATGACAGAGAAAATATGCCTCCAAGGTCCTGATAGATGACATGGTTTAACAGAGGGGATCTGAAGCACACCCATTTTGTCAGATCGTACTGGATATACAGAAATAATAAAGAGGGTTGGTCCCTCAAGTAACCAGGCACTATTCCTTGAAGGGCTTTATAGGTGGTAAATTGAATTGCACTTGAATTGCACTTGGAAGCCAACTGGCAACCAGTGCAGCTCACGGAACATTGGTGTGACATGAGTATACCGTGGCATGCTAATTACTGCCTATGCTGCCACATTCTGGACCAACTGTAGCTTCGAAATGGTTTTCAAGGGCAGAGCCATATAGAGCACAATGCAGTAGTACATTCATAAGGTGGTACACTTAAAATATCTCCCTTCCTCTTTCCAGACCAGAGTTTAAGATAGAGTGAAGGATACGGTCCAGATAAAAAAGTGCTTAAGCCTTGCTTGCATGAATTTAGCCTTAGAATAAGTGAGTAACAATCTGGAGGGCCTCCCAATCCAGGAACAGGCACAACTAGCACATTAGATGGATTTGTGTGAAGACCCTCTGGGCAACAGCTGCTATCTGCTCCCTGAGCAGGAGTTGTAAATCCAGGACAACCCCCAGATTGCACATTCATTCTGAAGGGAGAATACTGCCTTACCCAAGACTAGAGATGGAAGCTCCCCAGGATCAAATTCACACAGCCTCTAGACACTGGGACAGAACATTTGACAGCAACACTTGGATGCCCGGGATCAAGAAGTACAACTGAACAGTATCAGCATATTGATGATACTGAAACCTGAAGCAATGCTTGACCTCAAGCAGTGGTTTCATGAAGATGTTGAACAGGAAGGGGAAAGTGTCAAGCCTCTACATCATGCAACAAATGTTACATGTGGATTTGACAGTTCTCCCCATAACAGCACCAACTGAAACCAACCACAGAGAGAGGACAACCACTGTAACATGGCATCCTCCACACTCAGTGCCTACAGCTGGTCCAGGATACTGTGACTGATGGCATCAAAAGCCACTGAGAGATGAAGGAGCACAAGAATAGATGCACCACCCTATATCAGCTCCGCCAAATTTCATCAACAAGTGCGACCACTGCCATCTCAGTACAATTAACCTTTACTAGGGTTGCCAGACCTGGGCTACAAAAATCTGGTCACCCACTAGAAGGCAGAAAAGATATTCAGACAATATTAACTCTTCGCTGACATCTAGGAATCATCCAGGTTTTTGCATCCTAGATCTGGTAATCCTACAAATTCAAGAATGGTGTGTTCTGAATGTAAACTGGTGGTAGGTAGGCAGTCATTTGGTTTCCTATATTAGCTGATGCCCAGAAACTTAAATCAGTTGTACTGACTGGTCTAGGCTCAGGTTGATAATACAATTTTGGCAGCAGAGTTCCGGGAACCTTAGTCTTTCATTCAAGAAACAACCAACCAACCAATGTACTATCTGAATGTTAAATAATTGCATGAATCTGTATAGCATGCAAGGCTGCTAGACAGTTTTCAGCAAGAAAAGCAAAAGCAAATTGGTTGTTCAAAACTTACCATATTTAACAGGGCCATCTCTACTAGCAGCATGGATCAGCATTAACGCAAGCATTCTAGGCTTGTGCACCAGCATGACTGCCTTGATGTATTGGAAATTGAGCATTGCCTCCCTAACAAGTACCACCTGAGGTGTGATGAGGTCCCCAAAATGCCTCCAAAAGTTGCCAGCTATTTCTAATTTTAAATGGGACAGAAGAATACTTTTGGAAACTTGAGGATTAATTATAGTGAGTTTAACTAACGTGATGCGATTTTAATTCTTTTAAACGTAGATTTAATTTTGTCCCAGCCTACTTTTTAAAAAGTAAAAAGGACCTGACACACCCTCAGACGGAAAAAAGTTGTGCAGGCCTGCCCTAGAGCGAAGCGGGCTGTGACTTGGCTATCTCAGAATTATGCTTTCGTAACTAACTCCCGGGGTGAAAGCAAAACACCACTTCCTCCTCTATTTGTAATATACTTTTCAGGAGTACTTTGATGTATGATTTACACCCATGATTTATTTAAATAAACTAATTCATTTGCATGTGGGACTCTCGACACAAATTCTGCATGTGCCCACAGTTTGTTCAGAGGCAGCAGCTGACATTGCAAATGTCCCTCTGAACGAAATACAGTACAACAAATACCAGCCCTCTGGCCTGCTGGACTCCGCACCGCAGGACAGCGTTTCGGGGGGCTGCGCTACGGAGATCAGCTTTCCCGCGGAAGGTCCCTTTCCTCCCGCAAGGCTACGCTTCGGCTTTCCTGCCCGGGTCGATCGCCCTCGTTTTTCGGGTGCGAAATCCCGATTCCGGTCCATCGGGCGGGCACGAGTGGCCAACCCGACCCGTGGGGTGAGTTTGCGGTGCGAGGAGCCCAGCAGCGTCGGACGCAGTGGAAGGCGTCGTAGGCACGCAGCGCCGGTCTTTGCGGCTTGCCAAGGGGCGGCAGAAGCCGGCACAGGGGCGGGAGACTCAGGGGCCACTTCCTGGCGTGGACAGCGGCTCATTCACGGGCCAAACTCCGGCACCTTTCGGAGCCGGCGCCTTTCGTTTTCGTTTTCCTGAAGGACAGCGAGCAGCGCCCGGGCGGGGGGAAGGGCTCGTGGGGAATCGGGTAGGAGCCTGCAGGCATCTGGACGATCCCGGCCCCGGGTTCTCCTTGCAATGCAGGTAAGGGCGGGGGAGTGGGGAGCGGCAGGCGCTGTGCCCCCTCGATCCTCCCGGGCTCTCCCTGCCTTGCGTTTGCCTTCCTGCCCCAGCGCCGTAGATTCCCGCACGGCTACAATCCTCCTCTCGCTTAAGGCACGTCCATCGCAAGGTCCGGCCCCTTCGGTCCAGCTGCCGCCGCCTTTTCGCCAGGCGGCTTCCCCGACCCGCGCATCGCCCTCCTTGGACTTCATATGGGCTGGAAATCATGGGATGAAGAATAAAGAGAGGCATGTGGAGGGCAGCGTCTGGGCCTGGGTACGTCCCCCGCTTTGGAAGCCATTGGCTTCTCTGGGCTAGGCTGAATCCGCTGAAATCATTTTTCTGATGGTTTAAAAGAAAGTCATTTCAGACTGGACGAAGCCTGGAATTCCCCCAACCTTTCACAAGAAAAAGGAGACATTAAGCAGCTGATAGTTTTTCTTTGAAAAACAGTGTTTTGTTGAACAGAATTAATCCGGGAGGGAGTTAATGAGCTGTTTCAAATGGAAAAATAGTGAGCTGAAACTTAACACTTTGGATCGCTTATTCTAAGGCTAAATTCATGCAAGCGAGGCTTAAGCACTTTTTTTTATCTGAACCTTTGCTCTATCTTATCCTGTACTCTATCTTAAACCCTGGTCTAGAAAGTGGGAGGGAGATATTTTAAGCGTACATTTTCAACCAGCCTTCCCTAACCTGGGGTCCTCAGTTGTGCTGCAGTGATTCCCAATCAGCATTACTTTGGGGTATGTTGACTGGGGATTATGGGTATTGTGCTATAACACAAATGGTGGTGCCTGATTGAGAAAATTTACTTCAGACCAGGAGTGGGCAACTTTATTCCCTCCATGTGTTCCCTTTCTTGCCCAGTTAGCACTCTGTTTTAGTCTAGACCAGTGTTTTTCAGCCTTGGCAACGTTAAGATGTGTGGACTTCCATGCTGGCTGGGGAATTCTGGGAGTTGAAAGTCCACACATGTTAACGTTGCCAAGGCTGAAAAACACTGGTCTAGATCATGGGGGTTATACATTCCTGTATCAGAAGCTTCAGAAGCCTTACCTTTTGCAAGTCAAAAGATATTTCTCCACAAACAGAGAAAGAGAGGGATAACTGAACATTATCTGTGGGAACACTTGTTTAAACGAAGTATTATTGTTGCTAACACAGAGATGATATGCTGCTCTTTGTTTTAAAAGAAAGATCTTTGGAAATCATTTATTTATTTGCATACAGGCATGCATGCATGAATTAATATACTGCTTGGCAAGACTTAGAGCAATTTACAGTCAAATTAAAAGTATGTGCTTGTATTGATATAGATATATATATATAAAATGTCAAATGAGTAAAAATGGCACCCCATGCTCCATACCATTATAACTAAAGTACTGAAAATGATTTTTTTTTAAACACCTACCAAAACAAAACTGAAATGAAAACATGTAGGCATCTTTCACTTTTATTTTCTCTGTAGTCTGGTGTTTAAGAATGAATCTGAAACTTTTTTTTACAGTAAATTTGTATAAGATGTTTGTGTAGCGCTAAAACAGTTACAGCTGCAAAATCAACAGTGAGTCTTGTGATACGATGCAGAGTAATTTGTTTATTATGGCATCTACATTCACGGATTCGAGTTTATTTCATCAAACATTTAGTGAACTCTAGCCTTTGAAAACTTAGCTCTTTATTAATTTGTGAGTTTTAACAATCTCAAAAAACTCTGGTGTGTTTTCTACAGCTGCTTTCTTTCCAGATTTCAGGAGTGTCTGCAGAGTATGATCAAAGAAATCAAGATGGTGGCTTCAATGGTGAGATGTGACACACATAAAAATTAGGTGGAGCTTCGGTCTCACCATCACAGCCACTATCCTGACTTTTTCTTTTTTTTACCACACTTTGGAGACATCTCTGCCAGGTGTTTCGTTTGTTTGTTTATTTAACTTCCCAGACTCAACAGCCCTGGAATTTAGTGGTGATCTCCCTTGCAAACACTAACCAATTCCAGCTTAGTTACCTGAGTGCTGCCATTTGATATGCTTAATCTCAGCTCCTAATTACTATGTTTTTGGGGAAAGCATCTTGCATTTAAATGTATCCCCTTGTGGAGGGTGCGGAATAGGGACAGGAACTTTTCAGACACACACACACAGAATTCTTCTCTATTTACAGTGATATTTAATATGTACTATGGGCTTAGCTTAACAAGCTACACATATGCACTTCAATGTAGATCATTTCAAACAGAGCTTTTTATAGCGTTGTACCTGTTTCTCTGTCTCCTGATGCTCCCTTCTGTGCTTTCACTTCTGGACTTCCTTCTATATGAGGGTGGAAAGAAAAACGACTCTTTTCTGAGCTTCTTGGATTCCGAACTTCTTTGCCAATCTTTGGTCTGTTCTTCCAAAAGCATACAGTAGTCTTTTCCAGCAGCCAGTTTGCTCAGCAGATCTCTCTGCCTCTTGTCCTGCCTGCCCCTGCTGTCTCTCCAACTGCAGATTCCTCCTCCTTGATACACACAGTATTGCCAGTGCACCGTGTACAAAAATGACTCTAGGAATGCCCAACAACCTCTTCCTTCGTTACTTAATGCTTCTGCCCTTTTATATGTCTACATCTAGAAGGCAGATGTGCCTGCATCTAGGTGTTTTAATCAGTCAGGAAGCTTCTTGGGTCTACTGTATGTGACACTGAGCCAGATTTTGATCCACCTTGAGGGCATTGTATTATTCTGTCCATCAGGACAACTCGTCCTGCCACATCACTGCATAAGGATTGATGCATGTATTCTAGTATATCTACATAAGGGTACCATGAGGGTCATTACTTCATTCCCTGAATTAGAAGAGGCACGCACACACACACAAAGGATGGTGAACAGCAAGCTCATAGAGAGTTTCCAGAATGATTGGAAATTTCACTCCAGTGTGGTCTAGGTGGTCAGTCTGGTTTGTGGGAATTGGTTGTTTTTTTTTTCCTAGGATGAGACACTTAGACTTTGGTGGGTTATGGTGAGTAGTTTGCTTAGAAGGGCAAAACAGCAGCAGCTTAGCTCTGATGAAGGGGCCTGGTGATGCCAGCCGAGCATGAGGTGGGGTGCCACTTTCCTCTGCCTGGAAAGCCAAAAAGGGAGTGGGACGATTTCCTGTCCCTGGAAACATACTTCCTATAGCCACCCCTTACTTATGTGGAACTGGCTGTTGCTAGTTTAAATAACCCTCCTTCAATAGTTGGAATACATCTGTGCACGTTCCACTGTTCACATATAAAGATACAAGCTGCTCAGAATGAACAGTCAACATTGTTTTCTACACAATTGTGATCAAATTGTGTGCATTCTAATAGCTCAGCTCCTGCTAGGAACAGAGGCCTCTTACTCCCTTTTATCCCATCCTTCCTCTGTGTAATTGTTCCATTTCATCTGCATAGCAATCCTGGGATGTGGTTTAGCTTTGGAGACAATTGTTGATCTAAATTCTCCCATGAAGAGTAAGGGAAATTTTAGACCTGGGTCTCTCCTATCTATCCACCAGACTTTCTGCTGAAGCATATTGGCTCTCTGGTTCTAGTTACTTTACAGAGGTTTTCCTTCATAGATTCTCATTTATCTGGCTTCTAGGCAGTACATAGTGACAGAAGCGGCACTAGGGAAATACAGCTGATTTTCTGTAGGGAATCTATACTGCTTTAATATTTTTCTCCTCCCTTAAGGTTGAAGTGGCAGCTAGCTCTTTGACTCCTGTGGCCACATCAGCTTTGCCCTTGCCATTGCATCCCACTTCAGAGGCTTCAGTACGGTTGCTCTATGATGGACAAATCTGCACATTGCCAGGCCGACTCAGTGAGTAGAAGAGGTATTATTTAAGGCAGCTTTCCAAAGGTGGTTCTCCAAAGTCTTGGGTGTGTGCTCTACAGGCTTCTCCAAGCAGGGCCATTGAATTGTAATTTTTAACGTGACATTAAGCAGAAGGATTACATATACATTTTCTTATTAACTATATTTAATTAATTTATTTTCATTTTGATTACATTTAATTTAAATCCAGTTTAAATTTTAGCTTGGTTCTCCTACTTTTGGAGTGCAAAAGTACTTCTGTAGTCAAACAATCGTGGCTTAGAAAATGTTACCTGCCCCTAATTTAAGGACCAACACTGTACAAATTAGGTGTGTTTGGACTGCAACTCCTAGTATTCCCCAACTACAGTTATAGTCCAACACATCTTGAGTTGTAGTCCATCAGATTTGGAAAAGAAAAGGCATTGCCTACAGTTGGTGGGAGTTCTAGTCTGATATATCTTGAGGACATCTGGTTGAGGAAATCGGGACTCGATGATATTGAGTAAATGATCAGTTAGCTGAACCTGGTATAAAGTTGCTTCCTATCACAGAAAGAATTTTTTTTTAATCACCTTTTGGAAATTTATCATGACCTATCTTTAAAACTACTGGAGAGTAGTATTAGTGGGAAGGAATGAGTTGTATTAATAATTGCTGAGATGTCCTTTACTTGCTTTCTGAGACATTTTATGCTTTTTCAAAACAAGCAAACAAACAAACAAACAAAAAAAGCAAAAAACTGACTGCGTAAGTTGTAGGTGGTCTTCTTATGTTAATCTACATGTAACTGGTTTGATTTCAGGAATCCAACCCTTTCTATGGAGCAAAGATGATGTGATTCACTGGCTAAGATGGGCTGAAAAAGAATATTCACTCAGGAAATCCGATGACAGTAACTTTGAAATGAATGGAAAAGCCCTTTGCATTCTCACCAAGGACGATTTCAAATTTCGGGCTCCTAATTCAGGTTAGAGGTGTTGCCCTCATTGGTCAAAGCTGTGTGTGTCTGCATTCTTATCTCAGGGTTATCCCATGTAGCAAGTATAAATGAGGAATACCTCAAAGACTATGAAGTCTCGGATCTCCTTTGAAACAGATGTGCCTTCCAAATTGTCTTTTGTAGACAAGTCCTTGTTGGTTGAACCAACACCCATGGAATGAGCAGCATTACAATGTGACATGTCTGTGATGGAAATAACCAGTTTACTCCAGTGGCTGTTTGATCACTTCATGTTAGTACACTTTTCAAAAGGTCTTTCCCTAGAGCAGGAAATAACAAATTAATCTACACTGAATGGGCTAAATGCCTTGCAAATTTTAACAGAAGATTTCCGATTCCCACAAATGTGTGCAAGGGAACTATATTTCTGGTTTGCAAAAGTTGGGAATACCCAAAGTTGAGCAGCAGATGCGGGGGGGGGGGTCTTCCAAGAAGAAATGGCATCATTTTTGTCACCAGTTGGTATTGATACAAATGCAGTGGGACTGGTATTTCTGTGTCTTTTTTCACAGGAGATGTGTTGTATGAATTACTCCAATACATAAAGACCCAGAGAAAAGCCCTTGTATGTAGCCCTCTCTTTAATATTCCCTTTTGGGATACAAAGCACACCCTGACCCAGAGCACTGCAGAAGGTGAGTGCTGTGGAACAGTGGTTATATGTGTCAGGATAGATAATCTTTGGCTCACATTTTGGGCCAGTACATGCACAGGAGGATACACAGGCAAAATGCATGCTGATCCTCCAGATGGTTCCATATACAATCCTCAGCAGGTCATTTCCTAGACTAGGAATTACCTCTTCCTGAGATCTTGAAGTGTTACTGCTCATTAGTGTATTGGTTACCATACTCACAGTATCCAAATGCCATCAAGTTTGTGTCGACTCTGTCCCCAAACTGGTCCCTCAGGTCTTGGTACACCCATCACTGCTATAATTGAGTCAATCCACCTTGCTGATGGTCATCCTCTTTTTTTTCCTTCCATCTTTTCCAACATTAGAAATTTCTCAAGAGAGCTGATATTTTGCATAATGTATTCAAAATATAATCTGAGCCTGGTCATGCCTCAAGTGGGAACTCTGGATTGATTTGTTCAATGAGCCATTTGTTTGTATTCTTGACTATCTGTGGTATTCTCAGGAGTCTTCTCCAACACCATCGGAGCAGCTTTTAGGAACTCAGTTGAAACTACAGTACAGAAGACAAAACATTCCTCCACATAACTTTATAATTTAAAGATGTGATTCAAAAGGAAAAAGAGGTGGGGAGGAAAGATGAAAACAAACACGCTCAGCCACCACTTCTTCAAATTAGCTTGAAGGGAAGGAATTCACAGAGAGAAGAACCTCAAGAGAGTTTCTCTTTCAGCAGAGCAACAAGTGGCTCCTGCTATTTGTCTTTTCACTGTTACATCCAGTTAGGATGGCATTAGCGTAAGCAAACTAGTGGTCTGACTCAGAATCAGTTGAATCTATCTGTCTGTCTGCTGCCTGTCTGTCTGTCTACCTACTCACTTAAGTAAATGAAGAATGGATCTCTATCATAGGCTTTTCCAAAAATGTTCAAGAAATGGTCTAGGCATGGGTAGCCTGGAACAAACCTGATAGGGGTTTTCTACAAATAAAAAAGTTATGACTGAACAAACTTCAAAGATGACCATGTTCATAGCAAGACAGTTTAATGTATCTGACTGCAGCACCTTTTGTTGCATCAATTTCCAGTTGATTCAGTGTAGATCTGCCTTTCCCAACCTGGTATTTTTCAGATGGCTATATTTAGTGGGCTCCAGATTGGGGATGGCTAGCTTAGGAAAGGGCAGAAGCTCTGTTTTGAATCTCCCCATCTGGTCTCTTCTCACAGGTCCCAAATGCGACCCAGAAGATTTCCCAGTTAAGGCCCCTGCATTGCCTTCAGAACGGATGTTCACCATGACTAGTCATGCAGGCTACTTGGATCCATCTCAGTCTTCCACCAAGACTCTTTATACTCCTGGGGTGACCCCTCTTGCTTATTGCAACCCAGAGATCAGTCACAGGGGAAATGTTTGCTCTTCTCCTGTAAAATCAACTGCCCCAATCAGTGATAAAATAGCAGGTAAGTGTAATGTCTCAAGATCTGTTACTCTTTTGCTACACAGTTGTCAAGAATGCTTACCTGTGTTTGTATATCAAGAGCACTTGCTGAACATGTCCCACTCATGTTAACAGCACAGATTTGGCACCATGTGAATCCAACTGTATTCACTGCTTAGCAATTGCCACCTGCAAACGCATCCTACGGCTCTCCTTAACAGTGATGCAGCGGAGTAGGATGTTACCTTCACTTGAATAACATTTCTTTCAATGTAACTAATTCTCAGACTGCAGGTTACTTTTGGATTACATCTACCAGCTCCTCTCTGACAGCCGGTATGAATCATTTATCAGATGGGAAGACAAAGAAACCAAGATCTTTCGGGTTGTAGATCCCAATGGTCTTGCTGGACTCTGGGGAAAACACAAGGTACTAAATAAGATGATCATTCTAAGCTCCATAAATAGAGATTAATTTCTGTTTAGCTGTGCTGACTAGGAATTCTGGGAGTAGCTCTCTCAGCATACCTGGAGGGCACCAATTTGTGTATCTCCTGTAGTCCCCCAATATTATTTCGAGATAATTTAACAAAGTTACATACCCTATGTGTGGATAAATGTGCCTCTTCCTTTGCCATAACCTTGGTCAGCCTTGCTAAAAGCAGGGCTGGGAATATCTTGCTCCTGATCTCATAATGAGCTATGGCCAGTTGCAATATTCCAACAGTAGTGGTTCCAGTCTTTTCCAGCCTGGCTCTGGTAGTGTTAAAGTGCAACTTCCATCATCTGGGGCTTGAGGCGTTGTGATTTTAGGCCATTTAGAAGGATTTAGATCAGTGTTTCTCAACCTTGGCACCTTTAAGATGGGTGGACTTCAACTCCCAGAATTCTGGGTGGCTAGGGAATTCTGGGAGTTGAAGTCCACTCATCTTAACTGGCTTGGGGAATTCTGGGCCATCTTAAAGGTGCCAAGGTTGAGAAAGACTGATTTAGATTAAGGGAGGGTGTGTAAGATGTTTTGATACAGTCCGGACCAAATGGAGTACATATACGTATTTATTATATTTCTATCTTGACTTTCCTTGCATGCACTGGGATTCCTCATTTAATCCTCAGAATAACTTGGTATGATAGGTTGGGCTGAAATATCATGATTGGCCCAGAGTCACCTTGAGACTGAATGGGGACTTGAATCTGGGTTTCATGGGTCTTAGTCTGCTATCTTGATCACTATACCACGCTGGGTCCCTTTTACATTGTTTTAATTCCAAATTAATTCGTAAAGCTAGTAGCTGCTTAACTGCATTTAAAACAAAGCCTTTGTTTAATCATAGAGTAAGAGATAATTTGTATGCTGCCCAGGGTCCCCCTCCAGGGGAGATGGGCAGCATAGAAATTTAATAAACAAACAAACAAATAAAAACTTTGTAATCTTACTTGTATTGCAAAGGAAATTGGAAGCTTCTTTCTGTTTCTTTTTTTCTTCTGCACTTTTGTCTTTCTTTTCTCTCTGTTTTTCTTCCTTCATTTTCTTTATCCTGTATTAGTTTGTGTTAGTTTTTATTCTCTCTGTAAACTTTTTAGTAAAACATGCAAAAAAAATAAAAAATAAAACAAAGCCTTTGTTGGCATTTATGTTTGGAGGAATAATTCCCAGCCTACCTCCACTGAAAGGGCTGTGCACACAGTTCCTTGACAGCCCTTTTCTAATTCAGACTACTGCAATGATAAGCAAGAGAAAGCAAACTGATGTTTTTACAGTCACAATTTTTACACAATTTTCAGAACCGAAGGAATATGACATATGAGAAGATGTCAAGAGCTTTGAGGCATTACTATAAACTCAACATCATCAAAAAGGAAACTGGACAGAAATTGTTATTCAGGTGAGGTCAAGATGGGTCCCTAAGCCCTTCCCCCGCATTTCCCATTGTGTACCCTCTCACAGTCCTTGGGAGAGCCTGTTCAGTAGCTGCTACCATCCACTCTTAGAGAAAAATCCTCTCTGCACCTTTACTCAGGAGGAAGAGAGTAAAAAAAACAATTCTCTCAGCTTGTTTGTCCTGTCAGTAGCTTAACGGAATGGCTGAGATGCGTGAAAGTCTGTTTCTTGCCGGTATGGCTGGACTGATGCCAGAAACGAGAAGATGATACAAATCTTTCGTTACATAGATTAAGGATATGGAACTAAATTGAGAATTAAAAACAGTGGGAGAAGGGGAAAAAGAAAAGGTAACTCCTAGAAGCTTTAACTCAGCAGGAATCTTTCAGGTAGAGCCACACTCCATAATTGCAGTAGAACAAAAAGCACAGCTCAGATCAGTCCATAAAAGAAATGTTAGAAAGGATCCTAAACTGCATCTAGTTCCACATTTCAACAGATGGCTATTTTCTTCTGATCCTCCAACCCTCCTCTGGGTTGAAGTGCTTTTCCTTACCTGGTAGAAGCTAGTCTGAGAAGAGATGCCCTCTCCTCTTAGAATGTAAAGCAAAAGAATAAAGAAAACATGGAATTCCTCCATCCTCTTTCTAAAGCCGTTCTGATGGAGAGAACCTTCCTGCTCCTGCTTGGTTGCTCAGAGTTGAAGTTTTCCAGACTTTGCTGAACTTTGCCCATGGGGTTGAGTCAGGGGGTTAACAGTATGGGTGGCTCTGGCATCTTGATAGGAAGGGTGTGATGTGTTTGTATGTTGCTGTTTTTCCTGGTTGCTGTGAGCTGCCTAAACAAACAAACAAACAAATTTGATTAACAAGTTTAAGTATGGAGTTCTTGGTGCTCTCTAAGCTTGGTTGTTTGTAGACTTGACTGTAGACATTTCGTTATCTGACTAGATAGCATCATCAGTGCTAGTGAGTGTGGGGTTTGCTCCCTCTTTATATACAGTAGCTTGCCCTGCCAGTGTTGGTGGGGGTGTGGTTTTCTCCTTGGCAGTTCCTTGATTAGTGGTTGGTTGATTGTTTGCCTGGTGTTAATCCCTGCTTATCTGGGTGTTGGCTGTTGACGGTGATATGTTCTGGTCTTTGTATTTCCTTCTTAGCTTTTTTATTGTCTCTTTTGAATGCTATGTAAATGTGGTTTTTCTCTCTCTGTGTCTGTTGATGACTGGTTTGTCTGAATGCCAAGCTTATTTGTTTTTATTTATTTATACATCACATTTACATAGCATTCAAAAGAGACAATAAA